GGTCCTGCACTGGAAACCATCTAGCACTTAAGGGGAGGTCAGGAATCTACAGTTATAATTTGCTTTATGCAATACCTGTCTTTAAAAAGAGAGAAAGTTTCAACTAAACCATATGTATTTCACATTCATCTAGGGAGTTTGCTATTTCAAGGAACCCTGCAGTGAATCCTTCTGTAGAACAAAGAACCCTTTGATAATGGAACTATCACCTAGTTGATAGGTTGTTATAAGCAAGTATTTTTCATTCTTCCATTTCCCTGGAGAGGGACATTGAGCCCTCCTGACTGAAGCTGTCCCAGCTAGCATCACTTGGAGGATTAAACAGGCCAGTGACCTCCTTCTATGGTTATTTGTCTTAAGGCCAAAAGAAAATAAAAAAGAAGGGTTCAAGACCCACACTGGAGTACTTAAGGGCATTAGAAACAACAAGGTAAGACATGAAAAGGTGACATTATTGTCTTCAAGGTGATTTATCCGAATGCTGCTTACTTATCTGTAAACTTTCCCCGAATATTAGACACTGACCCAAGGTGCACTAGAAAGTTGGCAATTGAGGTTGGCTGGGAAGGAGACTGACTCAGGAAGAAAGGAAAGGAGGGAGGGATAGGAGAAGGAAAAATAGGGGAGGAACAAAGAAGTCAATACATAAAAATAAAACCTTTTCCATTTGTCTGTCAGGTGCAGAGGGTAAAGCTGAACATATTTCTTCATTCAAGTAACAAACATCATTAGCCTATTCAAAGTCTCTCCTGTTTTTAGTTATTTACTTTATCCCTTTGTCCTGTTCTTGCACTCAAGTCACCTTAGACAACACTCTTAATATATGTTCATATGTTTCATTTTAAAATGTCTAATGTTTGGTGTGCATGTATTTTAACCATGCAAATAGTATTTTACATATGTTATTAGATGTTATTGTAGTCTGTTGTGTTGCTAATAACAGAAATACTTGGACCTGGATAATTTTCAAAGAATAAAGATTTATTTCACTCATGGTTTTAGAGGTCCAAGATCAAAAGGCCAAATCTGGTGGAAGTCTTCTTGCTGATAGATAACATGGTGGAGGGCATTGCACGGTGAGACAGAGACCATGTCCATGTCAGTGTCTCCTTATAAACCCAGACATATCCAATCATGTGAGCCCCAGACTAATAGCTAATCACTTCCCAAAAGCCCTATATCAACATCATAATTGGATTAAGTCTCCACCCTCTGGCATGAGTTCTGGAAGGACACATTCAAACCACAAATGGTGTACATCCACTGTCCTATTCTCTCCCCAGTAATGGAGACCCAGGTTGTATCCAACTCCCTGATGGCATAATGCTGTTAAGAAAATCTTGGACAAGTTTGGGGACCCGCAGATGGAGTAATGGTTATATCGCTGGATTCCTACATAATTGACTGTGGTTTGAATCCTGGACCAGAGGCTTAAAACTCATGCCAGCGACACGGTGTGTGCATGCCCAAAATCCCAAGAAAAGAATGGAGGAGAAGTGTTGCGGTGTGGCCATTCTCCCTGGGAGGAGGGTGGGGTGATTTCTCACTTTCTGTCTGTCTGTCTGTCTGTCTGTCTCTCTCTCTCTCTCTCTCTCTCTCTCTCTCTCTCTCTCTCTCCAGCACACACACGCTCCCTATTTAAAAGAAAAGAAAATCTTGTACAAGTTGAAATATGTTCCCTAAAGATTCATGTGTTGAAAATTTGAAAATTGGTTGACATTATAATGGGATTAATTATAAAAACTTAACCTGACTATAGTGTTGAAAGGTAGAGCCTCTGAGATGAGACTAAGATTGAAGTCATCAGGGTGGGGCCTCCATGTTGAATCCTCGTGGGTTAGTAAGGAGAGACAAATAAATACATAGACGTTGACACAGACACATAAGCTCTGACCTTGTCATTGCATTGTGATGCTTTACGCTGCTCCACCAGCAAGAATGCCCTTACCAGGTATACTTCTAAACCATGAGCTAAATAAACCTTTATTCTTCTAAATCACTTAGGCTTGGGTTTTTCTGTTATTAGCAACACAACAGGCAGAATATACAGGCTCCCTTCAATATCTGCTTGCGAACTGAGTGGAACCGCAAGGTTATTTAGACAATTGTTCACACTGCTGGAAGTCTCTGGCATCATGAAAAGGCTCACAGACCCACCCATCAGAGAAGGGAGCACCTTCGACAGGAGTACATTCAAATAGTTATTAACAATCACAGGCTAATGAAAACATTTAAATACAGGATACAGACACTTGACTGCTTAGGAACAGCTGCCAATTGAAGACAAATCAGAAATGAAGGCATGAGATCACTGAAATAAAAATATAAGTTAGTTTGAAAAACGGTTTAGAATTCACAGAACCACATTTTCCTTGTGGCTTCATGGGAATACATCAATCGGGAAAAGTGCTGGTACCTGCTCTGCCCTACCTCTCTCCTCATTCTCAGGCTCCCAGGCCACTTTCTTAACCCAGCCACATCCACAAAGTCATCTGCTGTTCACTTAGTGTCTCTTTTATGGTGGGGACTCTATTTTTTTTTTACTCTTATCACTGCTGCCTTTCCTGCTCTGCAGTATCAATGTGAACTGTATAATTTCATCTTGCACCAGGGCTGTTCCATAGTCACCAGGGACTGTGAGGACATGATCTACTGCTTCTCTCACTTCTGTCTGACCTGTGCTCCTCATCCCACACCTCTACATCAACTGGAAGCTCAAGCAACCTCCCTGGTCAAATCTGAACCAAAGTGCTCCTCTGGGAGACAAATCATGGTCCCATTTGGGAGAGGAGGCTGCCTGCTGAGAGGCTCCAACTCTGGGCTCCATTTGCATGAATAAACAGCCCTGAAGGGTTCGGTTGAAGCTTTTATGTAAACACTCTCCAAAATATGTTCTGTACTGCATTATCCCCAGCAATAAAGATTCTGGAATCAGAATTTGGCTGTCAGTTTTATTGATGTTGTACGGGGTACAGTAGAATACAGCTTTCTCTTCTGGAAATTTATTGGCTTGGCAGTGCAGAGAGCAATAAAACTGTGTTTTTAATCAGGAAGCCAAGCAGACATGATTCTAGAAAAAATATAGGAAGCAAACTGCCATGGCAAAAAGATTACTTCCACCACTATTCCTGTTCATGGGCCCTATTAAGTAAGTTTGGTGTTGGACAATGTGCTTGGTGGCACTGTCTTCAGTAATAGAATCAGAGTAGTAAGTTTAGATTGCTTCCTCTAGGTCGTATCATCACTAAAAGGCCATTGTGCAAAAGCATTTATCTGAAATTCTTCCGCCATTAGCTCTTAGGGAGTAACTGCTGGCGAGTTGTTTTGCAAGAGGAACAGAAATAGTGTGAAATGTTTCCTCTCAAGAGAAACAACATTGGGCTAGCAGGTGGTGTATTGGTTAAGACACTGGAGTCCCATGTGGACCTGCCAGCTTAAAAGTCATACCAGGCATGTATACCTGCATGCCCAAAATCCCAAAAGGAGAATGGAGAAGGGATTGTGGTATGGCCACTCCCACACATGGAGGTGATTTCTCACTTTCTGTCTGTCTCTCTGGTGAGCCCACATGCCCTATACCAAAATATTCAAAAATAAAATTAAATTAAAAGAGAGAGAGAGAAGTAATGTTACAATGCTTGTTCTTTCTTGGGACCTTGCTTACTAAGAGAGAAATCACATGCTTCAGCCCAGGACTGCACAGTGGAAAGGGCATTTGGAGTCAGTCTGCTTGGTAGTTACTTTGGGTTACCTAATCTCTTTATGGTTCAATTTCTTCTGCTGTCAAAGGGAAATATCATTTCACACCATCGTTGAATATATAAAATAGGGTTATTCGTGGGTGTTCATAACTCACACAGCAGTCTACCAGAGTAGAAAGTCCCTTCAGGGAATGTCTCCCCGATTGAAATCTGCTTATCATGGAGGAGGTGTTCTTTACTAGTAGCTTAGGCTGCACAGACACATGAAAAACAAGGCAGAATCTCCCACCTTTTCTCATATCCATGATACTTACTTCCCACCTAAAATGTCCTATTCTACTCCTTTTTCTCTGCTAGTCCTTCGGCCAAAACCTTGAGCCATCCTAGATGCTCAATAAATGTTTGCCGAATATTCACCCCTGCCTTGGAAACCCTTTCTCTTGGGCTATCATAACCCTGGGTTCTTTTAGCATTTATGTATCATCCTGAACTGGTTTCATTATTGCAGACTATCACTCTTTTCTCAGCTCTTACATAATACATAACATTTATTTGAATTTTCATAATACTTCAATTTTTTTTATGGATGTGATTGCCTGAAGAAAATGCCCTCATATATGTTACCCCAAATGACATGAGATGTTCATGTGAGTTAATCAAAGGGTCACAGTGGTTTTGGTTGGGATAATACTGCCTGGGGAACAGAGTATAGATCAAAGTAGGAACATTTCTTAGTGAATCTTCTCTTTTCCTGCCTGTGTGGTTTCCATTTGTTTTTTTCACTATTCATTTCTTTACTCTACCCAAGATAGCAAATCTATAGGACCACTCTTGCACTATTTATTAACTATTTACTCGGTACCAAACCTTGACCTTTATATGGGTTATTTTGATAAATCACCACAACAATCTTATGAAACAGGAATTATCTTATTTCAATTTTATAGATGAAAAAAAAACTAAAACAGAAAGCTTAAATAATATGCTTAGGGTCACTAAGCCAGGTGGTTGGACAGTGGAGTTTGTTCTTCATGTATCTGATCCCAATGTCCGTGATCTCAACCTCAAAATTATATACTCTCTGATGAAGATCAGGAATGAGTCATAGCACATCTTGTTAGTAGTAATATAAGTTATAAGTCTCAACCTGAATCCACTTGTTCAGAACTCTGTAGTCATACACACACCTGCACATGCACAAACCCACACACACATACTCACACATACACTTTATTCATTAACTTAAAAGGCACCCAATCTTAAATTTTACATTCTTGACTTTCCTTTCTTCTTTTCTAGATCACTCACCTATCTTCCTGTCAAAGTAATCCCATCTCAAGCTTTCAGAGGACTTAATGAGGTCGTAAAAATGTAAGTAAGATACCGAATATCAAAAGACATTCATAATTGGAATAATGAATTTTTTTTCTAAGAGAAAACACAGTTGAAAGGGGAGAATTTTTCTAGGAAAGAAATTGCATTTTGGAAACCCTAGTATTTTCATCTTTATAATACAAATAGAATATCTAGGGACCTTTGAAGAAATGGTATGATTTTTAAGAGTCATTAAAATCCAGATAATTAACCTTGCTTCAAAGAACGGAATGCATTTTGATAAGTGACGATATACATTTTTTAAGTACAAAAGAAGATAGATTCCAATCATAAAAACTCGCTTTTTGCTAGAGCAGCTATTCCCTCGTGTCACATTTTTAGATAACACCCACACAGAAGAAAATGTGTTAGAAGTTTATTGTGCATCAGAAGATAATCTTTGTATCTAAAATATAATAAGTGTATAACAAAAACACAGTATTTATAGTTATATTGATGAAAAGCATTTATCAAAAGTGTAAAGCATCCTGATAATGCAGTATGATCTCACGTTTGTCAGATGTAACTTCAATCATTTGTCCCTGGGTTTCAGCTTCTAAAGCCAAAGACCCCATACATGAAGAGAGAACTTTCTCAGGAGCTCGCTATTCCAGCATTCTTCTTAACACTAGCCTGAGTCAAAAACCCTCAAAGGCCATTTAGTTCCAACAGGGCATTTCTAATTTTAGCAATCCACTAAGCTTTAGAAGCAGGAGCAGATTTGCATCTCTAAAGAAGATGCTACTCTGAAATCTTAGCTCCTTGGAGAACCTTTGCTGCTCTTTAGGTTATTAACAAACAATGAGAATATTAAAATAGTTCCTCAACAATTAGTGCATATTATAGGAAATTCACTATAGGTTAAAGACACATCATTTTGCTTGAGTCTAATCTATACTCTTCTGTTCTCAAGTTTAAATGTTGAGTTTTGATCATTTTTAATGCATTAAGACCTCCTACTGAGAAAAGCAGTCACAGTTAAATAAGCAAACTATTAGGAATAAGATGAATCAACCCAGGAGCAATCCATTACTATGTTATAAGGTAAAGGCATTAACTGCCTTAGGCTCTGCCTTTCTACGGGCTAACATTCTCATCAAGTCTGAAGCCTTCAGTGAACATTAACCTTAGAAACACACAATTTGTGAATTTGAGACTTTTTTTCTCAGTTGGCAGCAAACAGTAACTTATGTTGGGATTTTAGGGAAACACTGACATTACATGCTTGGGAACAGTGCATGATAAAGCTAGATCCTTTGCTCACATGTGTTTTTTAAAAAATCAATTTATTCATTAATCCATTTATTTATTCATTCACTCATAATTAAACACCAGGCAATATAACAATTCCAAATCTGAAGTGAACGTAATATATTCTTTGTCTCACAAAGTATGAAAAACAAGAAAATAATCACAATGCATGATAGATGCCATGTGCAAGAGCTGACCATTTTGCAATAGTTTTATAAGACCTGGGGAAGCCAAAGTTGAAGCATTATGAAACAACTAATTCAGCCTAAATCAAAGCCTCACTAGAATGATGGAAAGGAGATCCCAGAAATCCCATCCTACTCTTGAACCTTCATATAAATACTACTTATCTCTTTTAGGCCTCAATTTCCAGAACTGTAAAACAAGAAAATCTGACTAGAGTCTCTCAAAGGGCGTATCTAATTTCTAACAACCTGTGACCTGAGTTGTAGATAAACAAGAGAAAAACTAGTCACATAACAGAGTCTACTGAAATTTGAATTTCAACTGTACCTGAGATGTAGGTACACATCAGAGGTTAAAGATATAGCATTTTGTGATGTGAAGACAGCTTGTACTCCTTGTTCTTTTTCAGAGGGACACCATGGAGCCCATGGTTGTTGGGTCCTACACACAGCTCGTTAACACACATTACATAGTCATTTCTTTCATGTTTCTTTCTCTTTTTTTCTTTTTTTTCCCCCTCTCTCCTAGTGAAATCTCTCAGAGTGATTCTCTGGAAAGGATAGAAGCTAATGCCTTTGACAGCCTCTTCAATTTGTCTGAAATGTAAGCATCGGCTAACAGATAGTTTACTGCTGTACACTATTACCTGCACTGGCTGAAGCCCACTCAGCATTTGTATTCAAGCATCCACTGCTAGGAATCCAAGAGGAAAAGACTACAACAATTACTAGGTCGGGGCAGGCACTAATTTCTCTCACTGCAGTGGCCCAAAGGTTGCCATGGTGACAACTGCTTCTCCCTGGGAGCTGTATAAACTCTGAAACATCACAACACAAAGTTGGAAATTAAAATTGACATTGTGAAGTTCTGTCAAGTAGCTCTTACCTTCTGGCAGGGAGGGTATGGAGTATATGAGGTAGTAGGGAAATTGGGAAAGGTGTTTACAGTTCATGAACTGGTTTGTTGGCCGCTGTTTTGACATGTTCACTCATTCAGTTAATACTCTTCAAATAGCTATCATGTAAAAACCCTGCATTGGGCATGTATGTGTTGGATATGTTATGTTTTATTGTTGTTATTGTGAAGTTTTAGAGTTAATTTTAAATACTGGGTTGTTGGAAAAGTCATGAGGCACTTCTGCATAGAAAATTATGTCATAACTTTTCTGATGACCCAATAAATTATGCAAATTACCATTTCCCCCTAATTCACAAGAAGGATGAAATAAGACTGGCTCAATTCAGTTTTTAAGTGATGAACCTGTGATCCAAAGAGGTTAACTGGCTTGCCTGACATCATTAGCAAGTTAGTACCATTGATGAAACTAGAAATAAGGTCATGTGATTTAAGTCAGGCTTCTTACCACTGCCTTGTGTGATCTAAACCTGAGCTTTTAGAGGGGCACTCAAACTCCACCTGCTTAAGAGATTCAAGAGCAAAGGAAGAGGAATGACATTAGCATCAAATATTTTCTGAGCTCTTGTGCTTGGCACTTCCTTTAGGTGTGTCATTTAATCCTCACAGCTGCCCTGCATAGGTATCTATTTTGTTCAGGGTGGGAAATGGAGGCTCAGAGAGGTGTGGTAACTTGACAAATGTGACACTTTTAACAATGACAGGGCTAGGGCTTGACCCCAAGTCCATATTCTTCAAAGTTCATACATTTTCCACTATACCACAAGCCTCCCTATAAATGGTTCAATAGGTAATTATCTGAAGAGAATAACTGATACATATGTTAATGCCTGCCATGTATCTAGTCCTACATCAGTGCTACTAAAATACAGATAAGGTAAAATATAAATGTCTACCAGCAGATGACAATGTAGCTAAGGAGGTAAGACTAATTTACCAAATGATTATACAAAAATTCAAAATTATGGATATTTAAGATCAAAAGGTATAGTCTGAACTTGACTGTGAAGCAGAATTGCATGTGGGGCTCATTAGAACTGCAGATGACTGGGACCAGCAGGTGGCATAGTGGTTACATCGCTGGAATCCCACATGGCCAACCACTGCTTGAGTCACCTGACCTGTTGGTTCAAAAATCACACCAGAGGGACCAGCAGATGCCGTAATGATTACATTGCTGGACTGCTACGTAGTCAACCACAGTTCAAGTCCTGGGCCTGGAGGCTTAAAACATACCAAGAACATGCACATGAGTGCCCAAAATCCCAAGAGGAGAATGGAGGAGAAGGGACTGTGGCATGACCATCCTCCCAGGGGGTGATTTCTCACTTTCTATCTCTCTGTCTCTCTCTGTATCTCTGGCAAACACATTCACCCTATAGCAAATGTGTTTTTTCTCTCTCAAAAAAAAAAAGAAAAAATCACATCAGATGCATGCCAAAGATCCCAGGAGAAGAAGAGAATGGAGAAGATGGGATTGTGGCATTGCCATCTCCCCAGAGGATGATTTCTGTCTTTCCCTTTCACTGTCTCTCTCTCTCTGGTGAGTGCACATGCAATATGGCAAAAACCTCTGGGAAAAAAAAAAAAAGAAAAAGAGAATTGCAGATCATAGCCCTATCCCAGACTGGAAATCTGCAATTTTAACAGATATCCCAGGTAATGCTGAAGCACAGTCTATATTTTTTTAAACAATTATTTTATTCAACTTTGTTTATATACTTTAATTTGACCAGAGAGGGAAAG